TTTTTTTTTTTTTTTTTTTTTTTTTGCGGTACGCGGGCCTCTCACTGTTGTGGCCCCTCCCGTTGCGGAGCACAGGCGTGCTCCGGACACGCAGGCCAGTGGCCATGGCTCACGGGCCCAGCTGCTCCCTGGCATGTGGGATCTTCCCGGACCGGGGCATGAACCCGCGTCCCCTGCATCGGCAGGCAGACTCCCAACCACTGCGCCACCAGGGAAGCCCAAATATGTACACTTCTTATTGTAAGTTTAAAAAAAGATTGTATAAAATGGTACCTGAACTCTCACGCTCTCTTCTCATCCCAGTTGCCAAGGCTCTGCAGGAGTCTGACTTGGCCGTAAGAGGAAAGAAGAAAAGGAAGAAGTTTATGAAGGATGTCAAGAAAAAGGGGGAGATGACAGTGAGTAGCCTCCCCTTTGGAGTTGGGTCCCTGCCTGAGGATGTGGGTCAAGGCTGCCAGGTCTGTTCCACACTTACATGTCATCCTCTCCCCAGGCAGACGAAAGGTCCCAGTTTGAAATCCTCAAGGCACAGATGTTTGCTGAGCGGCTGGCCAAGAGGAACCGTAGAGCCAAGCGGGCCCGAGCCATGCCCGAGGAGGAGCCAGCGAGGGGCCCTGGTAGGCAGATGGGGAGCCTGAAGGAGCTGGTAGGAAGGTTCTGCCTGAAACCTGGGCTTGTGGTCAGGGACAAAAAGGGAGGGATGCTGATAAGAGCCCACACTTTTTGAGTAATGAGTATGTAGGTGTATACAGCTGTCCTTTATTGGCTCCAAGGGGGTGAAGTGACCCCGTGTTTAGTAGGGTTTGAACTCAAGCCTTTCTGATGCTGGAGCCTAAATCCTTACCGGCTGCTGCTTGGAGGAGTGGGTCAGGGTAGAATGAGGGGAAGATATTTTCACCCCATTTTATGTTTAGGTGGTCCATTCCACCTTTGGACTCTGCAGGCATCCTTTGGAGTGGTTCTTCACACCTGGTACTTATGATTCCTTATCTCTTTTCTGCTGGGATCTGATGTCTTGCTTCCATGTCAATAAAACATCAGGCCAGAGCATCCACTGAACTTGGAACCATTACCTTGAGCTTAAGGGGATTTAGGAGCTTGGGACAAAAAGGCCATATCTAACCCATTCTCTCTGTGCACAGCAAAGAAGCAAAAGCAGGTGAAGAAATCTGTATTTGATGAAGAACTCACCAACACAAGCAAGAAGGCCCTGAAACAGTATCGAGCTGGGTAGGGTTTTAAGTCATCATGGAGCTCTTGGTATTCTGATGAAAGCTATGAATCTTCTCCCTCCTTCCTTCCCCACTCCCAGTTCTCATATACCTACAGCTTTATAATGCAGGCATGCCTCGTTTTATTGTATTTTGCTTTACTGCACTTCGCTTTATTGCACTTCACAGATATTGCAGTTTTTACAAATTGAAGGTTTGTGGCAACCCTGCGTTGTCAGATGATGGTTAGCCTTTTTTTAGCAATATTTTTATTTTTTAAATTTTTATTTATTTATTTTCTGGCTGCACCATGCACTTGCAGGATCTTAGTTCCCCGACCAGGGATCGAACCCGGGTCCCAGCAGTGAAAGTGTGGAGTCCTAACCACTGGACCGCCAGGGAATTCCCAGCAATAGAGTATTTTTAAATTAAGATATGTGCATTGTTTTTCTTTTTAGATATAATGCTATTGCACACTTTATTAAGACACTATAGTATAGTGTAAACGTAACCGTTACATGCACTGGGAAACCAAAAAATCCGTGTGACTTGCTTTATTGTGATACTCACTTTATTGCAGTGGTCTGGAGCCAAACCCTCAATATCTTTGAGGTCTGCCTGTATATAATTTCAAGGGCTCCTGTCTGCCCCCTCCCCCGCCAGCCCATCTGTGGATTCCCAGGGTGAGAGTAAGAGAAGTGTTAAGGCCCTCCTGCCTTGGAGGTGAAATAGCACATTTTTGGTTCAGAAATAGAGCTTTCTCTCAGGGGAGTGATAGAACCCCAAAGAAAGGATTCTGGTGTGCTCTTGGGAATGTGCTGTTCCTCCGCACATCCTCTGGGCTGGGGTTGGTGGCTGGGTAAACTAAGTTACCCAAGCAGTTTTATTATATACACAAGAAGGAAGAGCCTCTTCCAGTTTTGTTTTAGTGCTGGGCCCTGACTTCCGTAAACCCATATTATCAGGTGGAAGAAGACAGACTTAGAACCTCAGGCCCTGAAAATGATGCATCTATGGTGCTGCTGCTTTGTGTGGGAGCTGGTAGGATGGGGGGTGAAACATTGCCTGCTTGTCCAATATTTTGCTGTCTTCTCTCATTCACAGCCCCTCCTTTGAAGAAAGAAAACAACTGGGCTTGCCTCACCAGAGACGAGGAGGAAACTTTAAATCTAAATCCAGGTAATGTTTACAGTTCTGGAGGACCAGAGGCTATGAGTGGGCTTGGAGAGGAAAGCTTTCCTGGGAAAGGAGCGTCTCCTTCGTCTTTCTGGTCTTGGCGTTGGCCTTTGCTCATTTTCTTCATAGGTACAAGAGGAGGAAGTAGCTGTGGTGGCCTGAGGAAGTCCATGGGGCGACTCTTAGATCCCTTCTTCATGGGAAGTCATCCTGGTTTGGTCTCTCTTTTCTCTGTTTGTAAAAAAATTATTTAAAACTTTAATACGTCTTTGTCATTTGTACATTAAAGAAACGGGAAAGTTGGGGGTGGTGGTGGTATATAGCTGTTTCCTAAGCATCCTTGTCAGCCAAGGTTCTTTTCTTTTTTTCTTTCTTTTTTTTTTTTTTTTTTTTTTTTTTGGGGGTGCGCGGGACACTGATGAGATTTGTTTTTTGTTTTTTTGTTTTTGCGGTTCGCAGGCCTCTCACTGCTGTGGCCTCTCCCGTTGCGGAGCACAGGCTCCGTACGCGCAGGCTCAGCGGCCATGGCTCACGGGCCCAGCCGCTCCGCGGCATGTGGGATCTTCCCGGACCGGGGCACAAACCCGTGTCCCCTGCATCGGCAGGCGGACTCTAAACCACTGCGCCACCAGGGAAGCCCCAAGGCTCCTTTCTTGATTAGCTTTCACATAAAGAAAATACTAGGGGGCTTCCCTGGTGGCGCAGTGGCTAAGAATCTGCCTGCCAGTGCAGGGGACACGGGTTCAGGACCTGGTCCAGGAAGATCCCACATGCCGTGGAGCAACTAAGCCTGTGCGCCACAACTACTGAACCTATGCTCTAGAACCCGCAAGCCACAACTGCTGAGCCCGCAAGCTACAACTACTGAAGCCCGCATGTCTAGAGCCCGTGCTCCACAACAAGAGAAGCCACCACAATGAGAAGCCGCACGCGACAACAAAGAGTAGCCCCCGCTCGCCGCAACTAGAGAAAGCCCACGCACAGCAATGGAGACCCAACGCGGCCAAAAATAAACTAATTAAAAAAAGAAAATACCAAATGGAAGAAGTATTTTTGGGAGGCTGAAGAGACCGGTCTAACTGTATATCTTACCCTTCTGTCTCTTCCCTCCATAGCACAGTCCGCGTCGTCTGCCTGCTTGGCACGGCCATATATACTCGGTGTGCATCTCTATGCTTGTAGAGGAGCTGGGTGTGGAATAAGGATATTCGTGCTAGAAGTTCTGTCAATGTCCTAGAACAAAAAGCTGTCATTTATTGAGCACCAGTCGTGTGCCAGACATTTCTGTGTACTGAGCACTGTTTCATTCAGTTCACTACAGCCCTATGAGGCAGGTACTGTTATCCCCATTTTGCAGATAAAGAAACACAGGCTTAGAAAGATGGAGTAACTTTCCAAAATTGCACAGTTGGGAATTCAAGTTTTTGAAATCGTGGTATATCTCAACCTATACCCTGACTCTTTACTATGGTGTGGAAGTGCTACTGGAGAGATGGAAGCTCAAAGGGGACAGAAAGGGTAACACATAGGGGCTTACCTGGTGATCCAGTGGCTGACTCTGCGCTTCCACTGCAGGGGGCACAGGTTTGATCCCCAGTAGGCAGACTAAGATCCCATATGCCATGCGGCGCGGCCAAAAAAACCCAGAAAGGGTACCAGATAAATTAGTTCTTTGTTGCAAAAAAACAGGTTGTACCCTGTAGGATGGTGGTTCTCATCCTTTTCTGAATCACAGGTCCCTTTGACAATTAGATTGAAAGCCAGAGGACACTCCTTGGGAAAACTGATTGTAGTTTATGTCATATAATTTCAAGCAGTACACAGACCTTTTTCCTTCAGCTCAGAAATTATTATCCAGTAGCATATACCCTCAAGATTAGAGTATGTTTAACGCTATTCATTTAGGCTGTACCTAAAAGTTGCCAACAGAGGGTTCCAGTTCAGTAAATAATGGCACACACACAAGATGGAGACCAGGGATTGAACCCGTGCCCCATGGAGTGGAAGCACGGAGTCTTAACCACTGGACTGCCAGGGCAGTCCCAGACTCACCGTTTGTTTTTTTTGCGGTACGCAGGTCTCTCAGTTTTGGCCTCTCCCGTTGTGGAGCACAGGCTCCGGTCGCGCAGGCTCAGCGGCCATGGCTCACGGGCCCAGCCGCTCCACGGCATGTGGGATCCTCCCGGACCGGCGCACGAACCCATGTCCCCTGCATCAGCAGGTGGACTCTCAACCACTGCACCACCAGGGAAGCCCAGACTCACCGTTTTTACGTGCTTACAGAAAGATCCCCAAGCTAGATCGTTAGGCCAAGTGCAGAACTACGTACTTTTTTAAGGGTTAGATATTGCATATGCACAGATTGATTGATTTTCTCTGGGAGGACTCAGGAAGCTATTAATAGGAGTGCCTCTGGGGAAGGAAATTTCAAGTATACCTTTGGAGTTTTCTTTTCACCAAGAGTAAAAATGACTTACCAGCCAAAAGAAAAAACCCCATACCACAGACACAGAAGTATGGCCTCCTCGTACGCACTGCCTCCATTCCCATCCTCATTGTCTCAAGCTGCTTGAGCTGCTTTTAATAGTTGAGGACAAACACAGACCACCGATTTTCTCAATCAATCATTGTTTTTATTAATTGGCTTTATAGGCTAAAGTGCATAGTAAAGACAAAAAAGGAAATGTATACATAGCAAAGGGATGTTTTCTCGCCAACATTAGAAAGACCTGAGATGCCTAAGTGTCAGTTCTAGGGAACACTGGACTGAGGGAATACGTATGCAGGCAGCAGGCCTGGGGGCTGGCTTCTGGTATGGACCTGGGACCTACAGAAGCTGCTGGCATGCTAACCCTGCCCAGGCAAAAGCTGCAATAGAGGGTGTTGGGACAAAAGGGTCACACTTTGGATAGGCGCTGCTGGTACTAAATGAGAGTTTAGTCCTTCAAGGCCCTGGGGAACCAGCACAGCTACTGAGCCTCCCCTATTGCAGGGAAAAAAATCTCAACCATCCCAAAGTGCAAGTCCCAGGAAGGGTACAGGGATCACTCCTTAGTTGGCCTGGGCCTGCTGCATAAGCCCCCAGCTGTGGTCTATCACACTTTCCCCCACTCTCAGTGAATATGTAACGTCAGGATTAGTCAGTGAAGTCTTTGTCTTATCACGTGCCTCCGTCTCCTAGAATGAGGGTGCCCAAGGAGGAGGGCAGGAGGGATTCTTGTGCTCCTTGAAAGGATAAACAGTTCATAAACAACAACTCTGGGCCTCTTTATTAGAGTGGAAGTGAGTCTGCAAGTTAGGTCCTGGCAATTTAGAATGAGTCTGCTTCACTGAGCTCCTATCTGCCTCGAGCACTGCGGAAAAAAACATGTGACTGAGTCAGGATCCAGAGACACTACTAGGTAGCCTAGGTGGAAGCCCCAAACGTGCTTCAGGCAGTCTGTCCACTAACTTGCAGAAGAGAGAAGAGACCTGTTAACTTTGCTCTCAGTTCTGGAAGTAAAGTGCTTACTCTAGAGCAGGGGTAAATCTAGAAACAAATGTGGGCAAGCCCTAAAAGTGGATCCTTAAATAGGAGCTAAGACTAAAAGGACAGTAATAAAAAACAAACCGGTTCTTTCATGGGGGAGCCGGCCCCAGCCATATGGTGGCCGGGGCAAAAGGCAGCGGTATGTCATCTTCCTACATCATCCTCTGGATCTCCTCAAAGTTCATCAGGTTGTTGGCCGTGTCAGACCAGGCAGGGTGCTGGGCGCCATCCATCTCGGAAGCAAGCTGATTGCTTCTTTCCAGAGTATGGTTCACGCCCCCAATCACCTCCTTACAGTCAGGACATGTGGCTCTCTGCATGGCTCCCCCACAATCACTAATCACATAGATGTGGCCATTGGGGCACTTGAACCAGTGGCCACGAGGGTAACCTATGGCTTTGACGATCTGCACTCGCTCTTCCTCTGAGATGCCCAGGCCAGAGCAGGGAAGGGTGGCTTTCAGAGCCTCCATCTTTCTCTGCACAAGCTGTTCATCCTCCCGGGTGAACTTACACGTCCCCTCAAGGATCTTCCGGACTCTGGAGACCTCTTCTGCTACGCTGCCTCTCACCTTCCCCTCTGCTATCTTGCAGCGGGTCAGCAGGTTCACCAGGTATGTGAGCCTCTGGATTTCACTTTGGAGGTCATCTAATTCCTGGCTGGTGAAGCTCAAACGATTCTTGGCCAGCCACTCATGGACCTGGTCTAATCGAGTCCTCACCTGCTTCTGTTCTAAGACATGCACTTTTTTCAGGGAATCATATAGGCCAGCCAGGTGGTCATAGAAGCTGATATAATTCTCAACAAGGCCCAGGTCCTTCACTGACAGATTTTTCTGGGCCAGCTTCTCTTTCAACATCAGGAAGTCTTCAGGGAGCAGCTGGTAGAAGAGATTCTTCCTCTCCAGTAGGGCCTTAAGTTGTTGCTGGCTGACTGCGATTTCCCTTGCTGAGCCCAAGATCTTTTCCTTGACAACTTCAATCTCTTCCAGCCGCTGTTTGATGCTGGTTCCATACCTCAGATTTTTGCGGATGGGCACCTGGCAGATAGGGCAGACCTTCAACTTGATGGCAACTTCGTCATCCTTCTGCTCGTTCATGTAGCGGTCCAGGGCTTGCACCTCAAAGATGTGGCTGCAGTCTTCCAGCTGTACAAAGCGGGCATCTGGCTCATCCTCAAAGCCAAAGAAGATTTGGGTGACTTCTTCCTGGTGGCAGACACGGCACTTCTTAGGGCATGGTTCCCCACACAAACCAATGCAGGGGTGGCCGCAAGCCAGCAGCTTAGTACAAGGCACGTAGCAGGGGGGTCGGTCACAGGGCTCAGAGCAGAGTTTGGTGCACTGGTAGTGCTGGCAGCGCCAGTCACAGGGTTCCACACAGGGACTGCACAGTTCCCCACACTTCTTCTTGCACTGGCTGTGGACGCAGCGGTTCTGACAGGTCCGCTGGCAGGGCGGGCACTCGCCAATGCACGGCTCCTGGCACTTGTGTGAACAGATGAGCAGGCGATTGCAGGGCTGTTGACAGCGCTCATGGAAGCGCCCTTTGAAGCAGCTGTGGCAGGAGCCGGGACATGGATGCCCACAGTTCAAGATGGTGCCACACTTGGTGGTGCA